GTGTGTGTGTGTGTGTGTATGTGTGTGTGCGCGCGCGCGGCGCGCGCATGGATGCATTGTAACGCGTGTTTTACACATGTTCATTGGATTAGTCGAGTGGAGATAGACTGGTAGTTGTTTTAGCAATAGTCCATCTAGACAGCCTCGCTCAACCAGATGCGCGGCTGCATTGATGTATTGGGGATAATGGCAGACGTGGTTAGGTTGGCAGTTTCTAGGTGATTGTGAAATGACGGGAACGGTTGAAACTGGACAGAACGGGGTACATGTGGGGGCAGTGTGTTTGTAGGAGTTTGGGGGGATATATAGAGAGAGAGATGTAAGAGGAGAGAGGATTCTGGGGTTGGTCACGAGAGTACGCGCACGTGCGTCCGCGCGTGTGCGCGGGTCTTTGTCTGTTTGTGCGATTGTCCGATGAGATGGCTACACAGTGTACGAGATTAAAAGTTATACAGTTTACCACACAAATTCTGGATTTGGATTTCTACTTCATCATTTCTATTTGAACTCGTAATTCGTCGTTACATTTTGGTGCCGTCGACAGTCCAAAATCTGGGTATTCCTTTGTGGACATAACGCAAGTTGTACTTCATATCGATACGGGCCAGCAACGAAACAGAGGAAGGATGACGGAGAGCGAGAGAGGGAGAGAAGGACGGAAAGAGCTAGTTCCGATGATGAGATGGGAGAGAGTATAGCCGAAACACTATATCGATCGATCTACGGGCCAGCAACGAAACAGAGGAAGGATGACGGAGAGCGAGAGAGGGACGGAAAGAGCGAGTTCTGGTGATGAGATGGGAGCCATGCAGACTGCGCTAGCGCCGACGACGATGACGATGGCGACGAGGATCGGCTGGAGATCGTGGAGAAGGACTGTTGCTGACGCCGCGTCGTCATGCAACGCTTATCAACGGAGAGGAGAAGGACGAGAAAGGAAGAGTACATTTCAACGAAGGACGAGAGGGATGCAGTCACACGGACGAAAAGAACGCAAGAGATGAACGGGACGGAAATATTTAAAATGGGTATGTGAATCAATCTTGTGTCGGCATTTCTTTCATAATTAAAGTGAAAACGTTAGTTATAAACGTTAATATTCGAGGGTTTTTCCTGTATACCATGCAAGCATGCACCATACGTTTTTTTTTTTATCCTCATACTTGTTTTAGTTCAAAGGGTGCATGTTATGTTATGTCGATGGGTATATACTTGCCGAGCGGATTAAAACTTTGAATAAGGAACGCCGACACAGTTAATTGTTTCACACGCTTAATTAACTAACATTGTATGTACGTATATATGTATGTTTATGGTTGTTTTATGAACGTGGTATTTTCTTCATGATATATGCTTCTAATTTTTTTTTTTTGGAAAATCTTTGTTGTGAAACTTTGTTTAGAAATTTGTGATCGTTTCTTGAATTTGTGCTAACCAGTGACGGTACGTTCTCACTATAATTGTTAGACCGCTGGACACATTTTTCAATCAGAGTTTGATTATAGGCCAAAAACATTTCATCGAAAATATGAAATCAGTTTTGCGTATTTTTGTTGGCTGTATATGATGTATGATGGATGATATATGATGATTTTGTTGGCCGTATGATGTGTGGAAGTACCGCCATCAGTGCCGTGTTTATTAATGCCTGTGTGCATGGCGC